TTTCCACATTTCCACTCGTGGTCGGACTCTTCTTCTTCTCTATGTTGATGACATGATCATCACTGGCGACGACCCTGAGTATATTGCCTTTGTAAAGGCTCGTCTTAGTGAGCAGTTTCTTATGTCTGATCTTGGACCTCTTCGCTACTTTCTTGGGATTGAAGTCTTTTCTATCTCTAATGGTTTTTTTATATCCCAGGAAAAGTATATCCAGGATCTTCTTGCTCGTGCTGCTCTTACTGACGAGCGCATTGTTGAGACTCCTATGGAGCTCAATCTTCACCTCCGTGCTACTGATGGTGATCCTCTCCCTGACCCGACGCGTTATCATCATCTTGTTGGCAGTCTTGTCTATCTAGCTGTCACTCGTCCGGACATCTCTTATCCGGTTCATATTCTGAGTCAGTTTGTCTCTGCACCCACATCGGTTCACTATAGTCATCTCCTTCGTGTTCTTCGATATCTTCGGGGCACGATCTCTCACCGTCTATTCTTTCCTCGCTCCAGTTCTTTACAGCTTCAGGCCTATTCGGATGCTACGTGGGCTAGTGATCCTTCAGATCGCCGTTCACTTTCTGCTTACTGTGTTTTTCTTGGTGGTTCTCTCATTGCCTGGAAGACGAAGAAACAGATTGCAGTTTCCCGTTCGAGTGTCGAGGCTGAGTTGCGAGCAATGGCTCTTTTGACGGCAGAGGTGACTTGGTTATGGTGGTTACTTCAGGATTTTGGTGTTTCTGTCACTACACCGACTCTGCTCTTATTTGACAGTACAAGTGCTATTAGCATTGCGCGCGATCCTGTGAAGCATGTATATATATCGGCCAATGGCCTCATGGGAATACAAGTTGCATATTTCCTAACATGCGATCCCCAACCGCCGCTGCACCGAGGAGAAACACCAGTTCCCCACGAACGGACGTGGCTGTTCGTAGCGTTATCTACTACTCCCTCCGTTCCGAATTACTTATCTTGAATTTGTCTAGATACAGATGTATCTAAACTCATTTTAGTGCTAGATACCTCTGTATCTACACAAATCCAAGACAAATAATTTGGAACGGAGGGAGTATCTATTATCTACTATCTACTATCTACTACCACTATAAAAAGAAAAGAAAGGCAAATCCAAACAATCACAGCCATCCATCATCAAAATCTAATGGTTCTTAATCATTCTGTGTTTAATGCTACCAACCACACAACAAGCCACGATCGATCGCTAATCGCCCCGCAGTAAAATTCGTCCCGCAGTAAAAAAAAAAACCGCCCCCGCACGACCTCCTCCTCCCGCACCTCCTCCGGCAGCCGTGCCGTTCGCCTCCCGCACCTCCTCCCGCAGCCGCGCCTTTTACCGCTGCCGCGGGTCGCCGGGACGGGAGCCTCCCCGGCCGCGGGTCGCTGGGACGGGAGCCTCCCCACCGCGGGTCGCCGCCTCCGCCCGCCCTTCACCGCTGCCTCCGCGCCTTTCACCGCTGCCGTGGGTCGCCGGGACGGGAGCCTCCCCGGCCGCGGGTCGCCGCCTCCGCCCGCGCTCTTCACCGCGCGCCGCCGGAGCCGCGGGTCGCCGGGAGCCTCTGTAGCTTCCGGAGCCGCCCCGCCGTGGGTCGTCGCCTCCGCCACGCCGCCACGCTGCCACTCCACCGGATTCGCAAGTAAGTTTCTATACTCAGAGAATCAAGCAAACCAATTTCAAATTCTGTCAGCATATAGACAAATAGCTGCCATCAGGATTCCTGAAATTTACGAGGACATATTGAATTAGTGAGGATTTCGGAAATTTGTAGTTCAAGCAACTCATATTTTGAAGTTTTGTTGCTTACCTTCCCATCCCATTGTGTTGCTATGCTCCTGAAGTTGCCTAAATTTTGCTATATTGGGTTATCCACAATAGTATTGGCAGCGATGTTTTGTTTTGTGACAACTACTCAAATTTATAATCTAAATATATAATCTGCACATTGTAGTTTTAGTTAAAAATGAAAAAAAAGTATAGATAACCCCCAGAAGTATCCCGTTTGGATCACATAACCCCCCAATGTTTAAAACCGACTTCTTAATCCCTTGAACTATTCTAAACCGGACATATCACCCCCTGGCACCCACTTAAGTGGTTTGGGAAGGTGGTTTTGCATATGTGGCGCCTGGGATGGGCCCATCGACCGGCCACGTCGGACTGGGCCTGCTGGGTGTGGTCTAATCGACGCCCTCGAGCCGGTTCGACCCAGACCCAGCCTCTTCGCCTCCCAATGGACTTAGTGTGAGCTTTGTAATTTTTCAGCAGTGTACTACAGCAATATAATTTCAGAGCAAATTGTTGATCATTATACTGTTCTGTATGCAATGCTATGTAAAAGAAGGAAACTTTTGACAGCAAATATTTTATCACTGTACTGTTCTGTATGGAATAGTGTGTTGCAAGATATTTTATCAGAAGTGTACAAATTATTGGCATCAAATTCAGAAATAGATAGCAAATTTCCATAGCATTGAAGAACTTAATTTCACACAATAAGTTCCATGGCATACTCAGGTTCAACCTGATAAAAGCTACAGGTCTTTGACATGCAAAACTCCACAAACGACACTTAATTGTCAAGGAATTTGATGTTTCACATCAAATAAAAGCACACACTTCTATCTGGTGTCACACATCAACTACGTGACATTGAAAAACAATCCGGGCATTCACTTTTTCCCAGTGAGAAGCCATTCCAGCATGTTATTTCTTGGCACTTGCATCTGCTGTGAGCTTGAAGAAGCCCTGTTTGTGACTCCTACTGTGGCTTCCCCTTGGAACTGGTTGAGAAGATGCAGTAGGCATTGCACTTTGACTTGCGGCTGATTGTTTCTTTCTTGAGAAGATGGTCTTGCTGAAGTAGATGTTGGTTGCTTCTTTGTCCTCTTCCCTGGGTGTACCACCTGAAACAAAATGATCAGTACTTTCAGAGTGAATATATATCACATTAAAATTCAGAGATAACAGTTACCTGCTGTGTGTTTTTTCCTAAATCTTTTTGCTTCTTTCTCCTTGCTCCTTTTGCTGCTCTTGTGTAGCTAGCATTTTGTTTCTTACCTCTGTTTGGATTCTGCTCACAGGTTCTCTTGTTATGAGTAAAGCTCCCACACATAGAACAAGCAATTTTAATGCCTTTTTTTAATGCCTTTCTTTGAAAGCTTGTCCCCGTGAGGTTTCTCACCTTCTTCTCTTCTTCTTTTTGTCTTCTTTCTTCCTGGCATTACCCTATGAGGAGGTGGATGAGGTTTTGGCATGTCAGCAACTTGCCAACTCTCTTTTCCCTCCACCTGAAAAATAGATGCTCTCTGCTTGGTACACTCATGACATTAAACCTTTCATCTCCACTTAGATATGCAACTTGCTTTGACCTACAAAATTCTATTTTTCAGTATTACCTTCTTCCACACCTCTGCAACATCTTCTCAAGCCACCCTGCAGCCTCTCTGCTTGCAAAATAGAAAATAGATGCTCTCTGCTTGGTACACTCATGACATTAAACCTTTCATCTCCACTTAGATATGCAACTTGCTTTGACCTATAAAATTCTATTTTTCAGTATTACCTTCTTCCACACCTCTGCAACATCTTCTCAAGCCTCTACTCTTAACCAGTCTGCTGCTATCGCTTTCTTGAATTTTATACGGGAAAATAATGTAGTTCTTTTTTTTGTGCAAGCTTATATGTTTCAAGATTCATGAAATATGTTTCATATATGTTTCAACATTCAAAAACAGATGCGGCAAAACTGAATGCCATTTTGAAATATATTGAAATATATAATTTTGACATAATGAAAACAAATTATGTTTCCTCTTCCTCCCTAACTAACTGCGCATACTCATATTTACTTGAGATTCTGCTTACTTTGTTTGCAACATTTAGGAATTGAGCTTCTCTTGCATGAATATTTCTAATGATGTACGATGTTTCCCATTCATGACAGAGATCCTTTTCGTCACATATTCATATTTACTTGAGATTCTGCTTACTTTGTTTGCAACATTTAAGAATTGAGCTTCTCAATATTGCGTGAATATTACTAATGATGTACGATGTTAACCATTCATGCCACAGATGAGGAATCATTGTCCGCATGCGTTACAATCAGGGGATCGTTCCCCATGTAAAGATCCGACGAATACACCTACTCAGGAGACTGCAAATCAAGCACATTCTTCTTCGTCACTGCATGTGCCACGAACCCCTTTGAGCAACATAACCAACAGTTGTAAATCAAGATGTTGAAAAACCAAAAAGTGGTAAAAATTGGTATGCACGAATGTCCGATGAGAAGAGAGCGGAGTACAACCAGAAGCGGCGTATGGCCCGAGCACACAAGAAGGCTGCATTTGTCATTAGTATTAACCCTGAGGAGGTCTCTCCAACACCTGCTTCTTCATCACCGGATGTGCCACGGCCCCCTTTGAGCAACATAGCCAACTCAAACACAACCGGTTCGTTCTTTATCTTTACATGCTGCAATTTTAATATTCTGACTATTGTTTCAATATTCTATGGTACACTACTATATTGAGAGACTAACCTATCATACGTATCATACATGCAGCTGCAACCTCGGCTTATACCGACCATCCATCTGAAGATGTCGCTCTTGGGCGCAAAAAACGAAGCTCTGAAACGTGGTATTAATGTCTATCCGACGAGGAGAAAGCAGAGCACTGCAAGAAGCTCCGGATCGCTCGACTAGAGAAGAAAGCTGCAACCACTAGCGTCCAAGTATCACCTGGTAATTTCAACAAATATTTTCTAGCACCATATGATGCACCATCTTTCTGTACGTATTGCTCATCTTCAACCATATGAAAGCCATACGATGCACTGTCTTTCTCTAGGTATTGCTTATCTTTAAACAGCACAATCTGTTGTCAACGATATGCTAAACTCGCCATGCAGTGGGTCATCTATGCAGATAGATGGTCATATTGATTGGCTGCACACAAATCCCACTTACGAACGACAAACGATGGATGTTCATGGGGTATTTAACATGTCACAAGCTCAAGGGGCGCACATACAAGAAAACTTTCTGCCTCGAACACTTAGCTCTGTTCAAATGAAAGGTATGCCGAGGATTCAGTACTGATTGACCCATTTTGATTTTATAGACACAGTTTCCTGACCACATGTATCCCATTCAGAGGCATCTTCTGAGAAGAAACGGCGTCGCATGAGAGAACAATATGATCAAATGACGCCGGAAGAAAAAGAAGTTGTCTTTCAGAGGAAACGTGTGCATAAGATGGGAAAACGCCATGCATCATCTGAACAGTCCTACATTGCTGAGCCAACAGGTGGATCTGCAGTCCCCTCCCCAATTACACATGCCATTGATCTTACATGTAATTTAATTAGTCCCACTAAAAGACCATTTATCTTCAATTTTTGTCAAAAATAACTGTGTTTGCGTGGTAATTGACTGCACCTGCCATGTGATATTCAACTTTGTTTCTATCGTGTCGGCGGTGTGCAACCAGGTTGCCACGGCAATGGTGAAGAATCCTATGATGCTGGAATATTAGAGCCTATGGAGCCCCCTGCCGAAGTGGACGGTATATTTCCTTTCATTATTCCTGTCCCATTACTTAATTCCTTTATACGGCACTGTGTAGTTTCCCGTGTGTTGTAATTGTGGTGTATACTCCCTCCATTCCTAAATACAAGTCTTTTTTAGAGATTCCAGTGTTTAAAAACTACTGAATCTAGCTTAAAAACTTTTGGGTGAATCTATATCCTCGTGTTACAGTACTAAATTTTTCAATAGGAGAAATGATGATGCTCACATCCAAACATGAAGCTGATTTAATGTTATTGCTTTCCTAGAATGCTTGCACGACAGACAGGATGGGCAACCAGTGTATGATGATGATGATGATGAATGCAGGATATTTACTGGACAAGGTGACCTATACCATGAATGCATATACCCTTATATCTTGCAGACTGTGATGTATTTTTGACTCCAATATTATTGCAGGTCATGAGTTTGAATCATACAGAGTGACACCTAATGTTTCACAACAGGCTTTTGCGGCTGATGATCCTTATGACTATGTCTACAAGAATCTACCAATTACCAACTAAGCATCATGTTTTGAAGCCAGTAAAAGACTGTGTCCATTGTGGAGCAATGAGGTTCCAGTATGAAGGTCCAGCCTTCTGTTGCAGAAAAGGTAAAGTTAAGGTATGTATCCCAGAGGTTTCTCAAGAGCTGCAACGATTGTTTTCAAGCCAGGTAGACCAGGATGCAAAATACTTTAGACAACACATTCGATATTTCAGCTCCCACTTCTCCTTCACAAGTCTTGGAGTTACCCTTGACCAGCGGGTCAACACCACGGCAAGAACCGGTGTATATACATTTCGTGCTCATGGTCAGTTGTACCACCGTCTAGACCATCTTGTACCAGGTGGTCACGGATCCAGACATCTACTATCTACTACCACTATAAAAGCACGAGAGGGGCAGATCCAAATCATCTCAGCCGCCTAATCACACGATCTAACGGTCCACGGTCTTTCTATGTTTAACGCTAACAAGCCACCAGTCCCACCGATCGACCCACACCTCCATAACGATTTGTCCACGTCCAGAACCGCTCACCCTCGCTGCTAATCCCGTGCCCATTCGTGGCTCCATTAGAAAACTGCTCCCCTCAACGCCGCATCTACGCACGAACGCGGGGGTGCCGCCCGCAGGGCCGCCACTCCATTAGAAAACTGCTCCTCCTCCCCGCCGCATGTCCCGACAGGCTGACGCACCCGGCCGCCGCCATGCGCACGCCTTCGCCACATCCTTCTAGCAGCCGGCCTCTTCTTACGCGCAGGAAGCCCACTGGAAGGTCCTCTGCTAAACCTGCCACACGTATGCCATTGTCACACCCTCTACCACCGTCTCCCTCTGCTGGGTAGACGAGGAAGCCGATGCCAGCATCACCAATGCCATGTTCCACGACTTCAGGGTCGCCGGATCTGGGATATCCACCCTCTGAAACCGCTGCCCAAGCCCCAAACCGCTATTCACACCCTGAACAAATACCGCGTTCGATGTGTTGATCGCGTAGGAAACTGCCAGCATTCACCGCTTTGTTTCCTCCTAGGAGCAGTTCATGGCGATTGAGCCGTGAGTTCACGGCCACGGTCGCCGCCGCCGCCGGGGCAGCCACATCCACTGACCGCAGCAACACCAACAACCAAGTGGACATAATGGGTGGGATACGGAGCGGATAAGGCCTCCGGCTGTCTCTCGAAGATTGAGGTGATTATGATGAGCAAGAAATCTCTCTGTTTTATTATTCTTTATTTTCTGAAGTTTATGTTCTACTGAAAAAATCACCAACCAATTCTACTTACTTTGAGCAGAACTTGCATCTTTTATGACTTCCTGCAATCTAGCATAATTCTTCTTTGCAATAGAAGACCAGTATTATATGTTTGATGGGTTGACATTTCAATGCAGGGAAGAGCCGAGGAGGTAGCTTTCCCGCACAACACTCCATCTCTCACGATGTCAGTGATTCAATTAGGATGTGGCACTTTATTGTGTCTCTATTGGAGGAAAGGGACACGGAGAATTGGAATTACAAAGTTTACACCAGAAACATAGAGGTAAACGTTCATGTATGCATTTCCTCGTAGTTTTGGTTTCAGTTTCTTTTATCATGTGATTTGATGCAGATATAAGAACTCATCTCCAAGCTATAGTTTAGGAGAGGCGAGCCTACACCTACAGATGCCATATCATTTTGTTCAGCTACAGATAGGTTGATGATTTGATTTTCTTAATTATCATCCAATGTTACCTCATAAATCCTTTTGAGCAAGGTATTGTTTGTGTACATATTAATTGCTCAAGCATTTTCACCGTCTCTATTCAAGTTTATTATTGCGTGAAAAGTTAGATGCTTATATGTCTGGTGACATCAAAACATTTGATTGTTAAACGTCAAAGAAAGCAACCAAATATTTCATTTGTGATGTACTGATAGCATTTCTTGGTATTTCTTGTTACACAAACACACTTGCAGATCACCAACCGTGTTTTTTTAGGTTGTGAATGCGTCCAAATTGGTATTCAACAGATCAGGCTGCTGCTGCCCCATGAATGACCGTTATGTGATTCTTTCTAGCAATATCCAAAGCCTTATGATCATGCTGCTGCTGCCCCATGACTGAATGTGTTTCTGAAAGAGGATGTCAACAGAGTATAATACTGGAAGGAGGAGTGAGCAACAGCCAGATCAGAGAAGTTAAGAACAAGGCACATGCTTCAGATTAACTCCTATTTCTTAACCAGTATGCTTTTGATGATTGAAGTACATTAGAAAAGTATATATTTCTTCATATTAACGGATTCTAATGGTATGATTTCGGCATGCAAATAATTCTTCCATATGTCTGACTATAATGTGTTGACGTGCAAATATGCAGAAGGATGATCTCACTTTTGGGTACATGGTTTTGTGAATCGATGTGTTATCTTGACCAAATATCTTAGTATTTGTACAATGTTGCAATATGGACAGCCTTGTCGCCACTTTTACTAGATTGATATATAATACTGTATGTACAATGATTCAGTACATATATACCTGTAGCAACTACTAATCGAAATTTCTTCTTCCACCTACAAAAATATATAGAATCTTCCTACATAATTTCATGTTGATACCTGATTTCCATGTCCATACTGTTGGGGCGAGCTAAAACTGCAAGGCCTCATAGTGCATAGAGGCACCTAATAAAGTTTTCAGGTTTGTCCCAAGAACTATTATATCCACACAAGATATTTGCTTGCAGAACCACCAGAGCTCTGAACCTTCTAGGTAATTTCACATGGTGTGCAGGTTGAGCTGTCCAACAAGTGCAACATAATCAGCGGCAAGGCACCCACGATATCCCTGATTTGCATTCAAGTGATATAAGGTTTACTCATGTTTTTATATTTTCTTTGTTTTTTCTGTTTTGCTTGGTTGAGTTTCAACTCATGTTGTTTGTTTGACAAAAAGAATCAAGAGAAGGGGGAAAAGAGAGGCGGAAGCATAATCTTGGGAGTAGGGGAGATGCTGACAGGTACTTCCCATCTTCCATCCATTTCATCTTGTGTTTGGATATGAAGCGGTGGCGTAGTTGCCACAATAGTCATGTTTTTGCCATCAATGAGAAGATGTGAAGAGTGATACAAAGTATGTCTTGTTATATGGAAGAGTTAGAGCTGAATGGAGCATCAAACAATGGAATCGAGTCATGCATGGAATTGTAAGCCGATCATATAGGCATAGACCTGAATTCATTTTTCCGATGTATAATTCAAATACTAATATAAAGAGTTCGTTATTGCTGTTTGTTGTGAACCATGTGAACATATTGCTGTAACAAAAAAATCTGTGTGAACATATTTGAATGGTCTCATCTTCAAATAAGATCTCTATAGTAGCAGGATTCCTTAATATTTAAATCTGGAAAGTGAAGAATTATATTTATAAATTATAAAACTGTACTTGGTCGGATAAAATTGTGCATACAAAAACTACAAGTTTCCTGTGCTTGAAATATTTTTTTCCACTATTTGCTTTGATCGATATGTGGCTTGCATGCAAATGATAATTGGAATTTTGTTTTCTTTGCATTTCTGGGGTGTGGAAACAATTTTGAATAAAGGATATATGTTATTTAGTGATGTTCTTGTTTAGATTTATTACCAGCGTAAAAACTAAATAAGGATCAATTTTAGATACGTGCATTTGCATGTACACGATTACTAGTGTAAATCCTGTACTAATCATCAATGGAATGGAATAGACGGTTCGACTTATTCATTCACAAATCTCAACACGCCCGGGACGCACCTTCCCAGTGGATCTTCTTCCAAGGAGAAGAATGCCGCTCCGGGATCTTCCGCTCCACACCGGCAAGCCAGCTGCCGGTGGCACGGGATCATGGTGGCGGTGCTGGAGGGGCGCCACTTGAATTTGGTTGGGGATGATTAGTTGATGGGAACAAGAAATATTTGGTCGCCGGTTGTCCGAATTGGCTGCTATAAAGCCATCATAATGTGCTCTTCCTATCTCATTTAGAAAGGCCTGAAGATTTTTTATTTTTATTTTTTACGAAAAGAACTAAGATCGATTATAAAAAGTTCACCAGAAATACAAAAGCATCTAGACAGAGTAAAGATTACGTCAAGGTCCTTGGATCACCGTCGTTACCAAAATGAGCCACCGACATGCCTGACGCTGCTCCCAAAATGGAGCCGGGCTGGCCTTATATATGGAAGTCGGGTTGGCCTTATTCCACACTAGTTAAATGATTGTAGACTAAATTTCAAAATTGGGTCAGTTGATTTTTGAGAGCTCGCCGGAGTTCGTCAGAGGAAAGGGAGGGG